TACTGTCCACTGAGAGGATGTGGCAAAGTTTTGAATTGCTGCTTTAAGCTAGGAAAAGAAGTGACAAGGATTTTCCTTGCTTAATACAGCACTTCACTGATCAGCACTGGTTTGCTCCAAATGGTTCTCAGGGTGAAATATGTACATCCTCAGTATAACTAATAAGAGTGAAGCCTTTGTTGATCAGTTGCTGATACTAGGACTCTTCACCGAACATCTCAGTTTTCTGGTTGTCTGTGTGGGAGGAATAGGTAGAACTAGCAAGTGCAGCTTTGAGAATACTCCAGTTTTTGGCCATAACATAACTGGGAATTATATACATTGGTTGCTATTAAGAACAAATCCTGCTCCTGACTTGTGGATGAAGATGCTGTACCTTTACCTGAAACCTGAGTTCTCCTTCAAATGGTTGTGCACATATACATTCTACTGCAGGGGTAAGTATGCCCAGTGCACTTGAGTTGGAGACTTTCCTCCCCAGAAGTACAACTAGGTAGCACATATAGCCCTATTCTCTTTGTGTTATAAGATGAGGGCATAAAAGGTGCACATCTGCTGCCTCCTTCTCAATTCCTTCTCACCACCTATGGGGTGACAGCTAAAGCTCCTCATAGCATTTGCATCATTCAGAAATCTTTTAGTGTATACAGTTAGTTAGTTTAGATAATATTTTTAACAGTTACCAGGAGAATTTATTATTTAAAAAAAAAAATCCCCAGGATGTAAGTAGTTTGCCGTGTGCAGGGCTGTTATCCCTGTCACAGATAGGTATAAGAGTGCTTGGTTTCTTTCAGAAAACCTCAAGTCCAACCCAGTGACATTAGTGCATGCCTATTTATAGCTCCTGGGCCACATGGCCTTGTGCACATACATAACTCCACATACCAGACTTCCCCTTATGCTGAATGAAGGCCTGCTGACAGTGATCATCCTTTCAGGCATCCTCTAGATATGCAGATTTGCGTACCTGCATGAGTGCTTCAGTCTCTGGATTGGTGGCTGGGTCTGTGAAACGCAAGCAAGGGAGATCCATTTCTGTCCCCAGAACCAACTCTGACTCTGGTAATAGATGCATCTACCAAAGGCTGGAGGGGCCTATCTCAGTCAACTTCAAGCACAAGCTCTTTGATCAACAGGAAGTTTTACTCTACATAAATGTGCTGGAGAGCCAAGCTATTCATCAGGCCTGCAAGATGTTTATGGTCCACCATCAAGACCCAGGTGATACAAGTTATTAGGGACAACGCCACTGCCATGATTTATCTAAACAGGCAGGAAAGTGCAAGATCATCTCAGCTATGCCAGGAAGCTGCCCATCTATGGATTCTGTGTATAAAAACTATGTCTCCTGGAATGTGTTCCACCTTCCTTGAGCGAGAGAAACAATTGTGGATTCCCTCAGTAGGGTTTTCGTAGACCAATATGAATGGTCAATCAGAAAGGATGTTCTCCTTCAGATTTTCCATTACGGGGGTATCTAGTAATAGACTTGTTTGCAACCAACCTGAACAGGTGCAGGAGATTTTGCTCCAGAAGGGACTGCAGCCTGGCTCAGTCAGAGATGCCTTCCTTCTCCCTGGGTCCAGACATCGTTTCTATGCTTTCCTGGCAGTTCCTCTCATTCCAAGGTTACTCAGGAAACTGAAAAGAGACAAAGCAACATTTAATCCTTGTCACACCATCATGGTCAAGGTAGCATTGGTATCATCTCTCTGTCTGGTTGCCAATAACGTTACCTCTAGTCGAGGATCTCCTGTCTCAGAACCAGGGTCAGTCTCTACATCCCAACCACCAATGTCTCCACCTCATGGCATGAACAGTCTCTGGGGGGTGGATTGATTTAAATCAGGACAGTTTAAATCACCAAGTGGAAAGCCTTCATTTAAATCATTGAGTTCTATCAGCTTTTCCATGTGTACCTCTGTTGTTTTCTAAAGAAAGGTGCATTCTCATTAGTTGATATAACCATTAAAACATGATGGTTTATAACTAAATAGAACCTTAACACTAGATTTGGGACTTTTTTTTTTTGCTACCTAGGAGTATACACTTCAATATATATTTATTTAAGAAATTTTATAGCTTAATTATGGTAGAATTCTCATGAGAAATTGTGCTCCGGAGAGGTTCAGATCATCTTGGTGAGCAGCAGAAAAGAATTCACTAGAGCATCATATGGAGCAAAGTGGAAGAGATTTTCAATTTGGGTGCAGTCTCAACAGTTTTTGTCCCATCCCACAGAGGAGACTGTGCTGGACTATCTGATGCAGCTAAAGTCATCAGGCCTTTCATTAGTTCAGTCAGTCTACTAGTTTCCATTTCTGCACTGCCTCTATCAATAGAAGGATTTTCAATTTTCTCCGACCAACTTGCTTCCCAATTCTTGAAAGGTCTATTCAGCATTTACTTTCCTGTGTGTGATCCTGTATCTGTATCGGATCTCAATCTAGTCATCTGCAAACTGGAAGGATTCCCTCCTGTCCCACTCTCTCTTTGAACCTATGGCTACAACCTGACTATCTTTATTGACTATGAAGACAGCTTTTCTGGTGGCAATCACTTCCACAAAGAGGGTTGCAGAACTTTAGTCTCTCCTGGCTAACAAGGTTTCCTTTAAGCCACGCCATAAGGTCATGCCCAAGGTAAAGTTAGCTTTCCATCTGAACCAAACTATTCATCTCCTGGTATTTTCAGTGAAATCTCATTCTTCCTTAGCGGAAGAAAGATTTCATACCTAAGATGTTTGTAGAGCTTTAGCATTCTACCTTTAAGTCCTTTAGAATCTCTCCGAGGCTTTTTATAGTCTATGCAGAGAGAGTTACGGGTCAGTCAGTGTCTGCTCCATGAATCTCACATTGGATTTCTGACTGTATGAATAATATAGTAATATATGGAGATATACCTATCTCCTAGAACTAGAAGGGACTCTGAAAGGTCATTGAGTCCAGCCCCCTGTGTTCACTAGCAGGACCAGGTACTGATTTTGCCCCAGATCCCTGAGTGGCCCCCTCAAGGATTGAACTCACAACCCTGGGTTTAGCAGGCCAATGCTCAAACCACTGAGCTATCCTTCCTCCTCTGAAGCTCTTGAAGTTGTGCTATGGTCTTTCTAAAGTCTTTCCTCCACCAGGGCTCAGTCCACTTCATCTGTCTTTCTGAGCAATAGCCCTCTAGCTGATATCTGCAAAGCAGCAACATGGGGGTCTGTACATACTTTTTTTTAGCCATTATGCCATCACTCAGGGATGGAGTAGGAAGATTAAATGAATAGCAAATTAAGACACTATGACTAATTTATATCAAATGGACAAAACATTTACAGTATTAATTTCATTTTAAAATATTTCACTTGCTTACTGTTACCTTTCTGTGTAAATAACTGTTTTAGTTGTTGGGATGTTGTACAATCTCCAGTGAGAGGGCAAGTGATCCAGGAGACAAGCACTCTACTAAAATGTGTTCCACAACTTGAACAGTTTTAAGAATCCTTAATCTAGGTTTACATTCTCCTTTTGTCTGACAGTTTTGAAGATGCTACCTCAATCTCCAATATCAGGGTGTAGAAAGATAATAGTGCTGCTCACTCTGGAATTATCAGGCATCTTATGGAGTGGCATGTTATACCATTTTTCTGGAGCCATTTTTAAGATTCAATTGTAAGACATAAGACAAAATTTTACCATAAAGTGATTATTTTTTCCTGATGGTATGTCGACAGCTCGAACGTTCCCTGGTTAAATTTGTCTCTCTACTACTTTTGCTGATCAGAAGCTATTCAAGATTTAGGTAACTTTGTTGTTAATTTTGTACTTCAGTGTTAGTAGGTTCAACTCATTTTTTCATTTACTTCATTTTTTTTTTTTTTTGCACCAACTTTATATCTGGCTGGTTATTTTTGCAGACATGTTTCCAATTACTGCTTAACTGCAGTCCTTCTCTTTCAGGAACTACCTTAGCATTTCTTACAGAAATAAAGGTGACCTAGTTTTTTTTTCAAACTGGTGGCCTTCTGCAAAGTACTTTCTTGCAGTAAAATGAGAAGGCACCGAGGTTTTTTTTTTTTTTTTTTCCCCCTTGACCTGAAGAGTCAAGTAGTTTTGTTTATCTTTTTGTTCAGTTTTACAAACCTTTTTTTCCTATAGATTTTAAATTCCAGGTATAATAAACAAGTTTTTGATTCTTTTGTTCTTTATCTTAATTACAGAATTGTTAGATTCTACTGGCTTTTAGGTACCTATTTTACAAACATCTGTAATAGTCTTCTGTTCATGTGTGCCTCTCCTGTTAAATATTTGCACCAAGAAACTCATGCAATGAACCCTGTTCTTTCATCATTCTTTTAGCGGCTACTTGGGAGACCGAGTGAATATATTACTTGTTAACTGCTGAAGCCTCCTCATATTTTTTGTGTTTGTTTACCATAGGAAGAACAATTTTAAATTGTTGCCTATGCAAAAGAAAAGTGTACAGGTTCATTTGCAGGTACAGAGTGATATAGAAGAACAGGAGTACTTGTGGCACCTTAGAGACTAACAAATTTATTAGAGCATAAGCTTTTGTGGACTACAGCCCACTTCTTCGGATGCATAGGGGCCTTTCTTTGTATCTGCCTGATACTTTATTCCCTGCTCATCCTAAGAGTCCAGGTATTGTTTGAACTAATCAATAGCAACTCCTGTTTTTCTCTCTACTGTTGTTATAGACCATCTCAGCTAGGACTTGGCATTTTGGGAAAGAATGTGGCTTTTTTGCATTGAGGGGTATTCTTTTGGTTGGAGAGAAGCGTAGGTCTGTTGGCAGTTTGAAAACTGCATGATTCCCCATAATCGTAAGTAGCATTTAAATTTTGCAGCTGATGGCTGGTGGCCTGTACACACAATAGTTTGAAACAGTGTTCAGAAAAACAGTTGTATGTTTGTGGAAAAAAATACCCCACATTTAAAATTCTGCTCAGCTTTTTCATTTGCTATACATTTATGTGTTTCTCCATTGCCTTTCAGGATTTCACTGATGGTGTACTACGCTCTGTGAAATCATTGCTGCAGAGCAGAAAAGAATTATGTAACGTGTCCGCTGAAGACTGTTTAAGGCAGGAGGAACAGGACAATTTTATTGAGGTTTGACATGGCATGTCTACTTACACTGTTGTATAAATATGAAGGATGCTTTTAGTTCACAACAGAAGCTGCAGGATTATATAATGTGCGGTAGAACATGACTCTGAATTGCAAATAAACTCTACCCTCCTACCTAATTAATTAGTTTTAGGTTCACCAGAAGAGTGAAGAATGGTGGAGTTTACCAAAAGAGTAAACATTTCCGCTTTTTGAGAAATATCATGTGGTCTAAGAAAAGAAGATGCAATATCTAATTTAATCCAAAAATGGATTATGATGTCCTGGCTTTGTTTACATGTACTACTATGAATTAACTTAATGAGGACCAATCATCAGATACGTCAAAGAAATGTAATGCAGCTTTCTGCATATTAACCACTTCTAGTAAAAACAAAAATTATGTTTGGTCTCAAACACTTTTTAAACTGGCCAGGTTAATTTAAATTATACTGTTTCATTTCTTTAACTAGGACAACTAAATTATATTATTTAGAAATCAAATAGATTAAAACATCGTTGACTTTCTTTTTAACTTGACTATAACTTGAAGTTGTCCTGATTATTTTAATGTAAGATATAGTAAAC